GCCCGCTACCAAATGGTGTTAGCAAAGGGAGATGAAAGAAGAAGAAGAAGAAGAAGAAGAAGAAGAAAAGAGAAAACCTGAAGATCCGGCACCACTCTCCCTCGACGATCCAAATCCATCCCTGCCCTCCCTCATCGGATGCCACAGTTGATGTCGCCTTCTCGTCTTAGGCGACGAGGCTTCGGTATCGTCGACGACATCTCCTCATCCGTGCGGGGAGAGAAGAAGCCTCGGCGGTGTCACGGGGAGAAGCGATTTCTTCTCCCCACACAAGCAGATGGAACGAGGCATTTTTTTTTATTTTACTTTTTGCACGGCGAGAAGGAACCCTCGGTTTCTTCTCCCCATGCAGGCAGAAACCGAGCGACGTCGCCTTTTTTTTTTTTCGCGTGGGGGGAAGGAAATTCTTCTCCCCACACGGGCAGAAATCGAGCGACATCGCCTTTTTTTTTTTCGTGCGGGGAGAAGGAAACAGTTTCTTCTCCCCATGCGGGTAGAAACCAAGCGACGTCGCCTTTCTTTTTTTTTTCTTTCATGCGGGGAGAAGGAAACATTCTCCTCACGTGGGCAGCGCACGGGGAGTATCGAGGCGACATAGTTTTTTTTTATAACACACACACACACACACACATACACACACACACACATACACACATATACTGTACTGTACCACACACCGCTCGGTATACTTAATTGTGCTGGACTTGGCCAATAATTCAAAGGTCTCATTTTCTCCCTCAAATGATTATAGATCAAATTATTTAGAAAGGAAGTCCTGAGAAGGTCAACCCGTGAACTGGTGATTAAAAACCCTTGAACTGGTGATTAAAAACGACGCATGCACGAACATTGTGCAAATAGTTAAAGAGTTTGTGTATACTACTTGTAATGTGTTATAGATGTTTGGAAAGTTGTTTGTTTCATATAATTTGCAAGTCACCATCCAACAAACAAGTAGGGTATTTTTGGAGCAACTTTTCAGCTTGATTGAATTTTCCAAAAAAGATATATATTGTCCACTGCTAGCACATGTAATTGTTAAATGATTTTTAAACTATTAAATAAGCCAGATCATGATAATCTGATTTCATCAACAGAAATTTATGCAATGACTTGGCGATTTGATCGATAGATTAAGATTTCACAATAGTTCAATCTGCTCTTATGGTTATACTGGATATTCCAAATAAACCCATAAATTAATAATAAGGCAGAGAAAGGCCTATTTGCTTTTTATCATATTGGGTAATCTGAATATGATAACAACCTTCTGTCGTATGTGGGGTGGTTTTGGAAATCATAATTACAGGCTGCAAAGTTATTTTAGCAAATACTGATATAGTGTAGTTTTGTAACTTCATCTTTAATCTCAACAATTTGGTGACATATGTTTAACCTTTTCTACTGAAGGTCAAGGCTAATGATGGGGAGGGCCCAGAGCTACTCCGCAGCTCATCGGATAATGTTATGAGTGGGCATGCTGAGTCCTTGGCTGTAACTCTAGCAGAACATCGCCAACATTTGGTTAGCATACAGGTAAGTTGACACTTCCATTAGTGGTACATTTTTTTTCTGCTTTATCATTTGGATGCTTGTTTCACCCACTGTGAATTCCGTATATACTAAAATTTATCAATAGTTTAGTACAGACCAAGTCTTTGCATGATACTCCAAACTATAGTTATCTTAAAATCCCTTGAAAAATTTTCAATCGAATATTTTGGTGCTGGGATCTAGAGAAGCTACCCACAACCTGAAAGCACTAACAAAAAAGAGTTTTAAGAATTTGTGCCGGCATAAGACAATAAAAAAATAAAAAATGACTTACAAGTCAAAATTTGTTTCAATCATGTATCTTGTATTGGTCCTTCATTTGCAGGTTAAATACATTAAATCAAAGGTTTTTAAGTTAGCCTGCTTTAAGACAGGTTGGATTTGATGCCTTGGTGGCAATTTTTTAATCACAACTTTTTCTGCAATGAAGGGACTAATTAGTCAACTTAAGGAAGCCATTCCAGCAATGCAAAAATCTATTGCAGATCTCACTGAAGAAGTAGAAAATATTTCATCAACTACAATGGATGGGTTTAATGCAAGACCAACATTAAATATGCAGTCACAAGGGGCTCAAGTAAGAATCCTGTCTTTGTCTGTGAAACTGTTCAATTTGTTTGAGAATTCTAAATAAATGTCATTTATTTTTTATGCTTTCTACAATAATGCCTTTTTTTTAAACTCATGATCAGGATATTGTTACCGATGATGTTGTCACTTTAAATTCTAGACTCTCATCCCTTCAGCTTGAGAAAGCTTCCACAAGTCCTGTTCTGAAACTCCCTCATTTAATCAGCCTGGCCCCCAATTCATCAGGAAAAAATACACACACATCAAAGAGGACTGCTATAATCACTCAATCCATCCAGGAATCTTTGCCAGTGGGAACATCAGTAGAGTCTCAGTTCACAAATGACCGTACAGGTAGCGCAGCAAAAGGTTAGCATCGACAGTTGTCTTCCAACTTTAGATACCAGCAACTGTTCTCTTTGATATTATCTTTGCACTCTTTGGTTATCAGTCACGTTAATTTCAGTAAGCATGGTTTCTGTCTCTATATATAATTCCTTTTTCTTGTTATACAGAGGATGATAATTACAATGTTCAGAGTATAAGGCGTTCTGTTCGCGAAGCAGCATTGTCAAGACCATTAAGAAACTCAGAATTGCTAAAAGAAAGAAGCAAAGATGATGGTTCTGAACACTTCTTCATACCTCTATCTACAGGAGTTCCACTAAAAGAAGTAGATGCTGTTGCTATTCGAAGAAAACAGCAATTAGTTTTGTCTCCACCAGAAAACAACAATCACAATATTTCAAAATTTTTTTTCTCTAACTCTGAGGGCCAGCTAGATTCTGTTCAAACTTTATCAATTAATTCATATGGGCTTGATGGGCACACAAATCAGACAGGCTTAATTCAACCAGCCACTGTTAATTCAAAAAGAGTATATCCTGATATTGATGATGCTCTCGATCAAGTTTTCTCACCCCCATTGTTAATGGAATCATCATTCTTCCAGGATACTTATGAGGACTTGCTTGGTATACTTTTCTCACCAACTGATTGCTATTTATGCATTTATATCTTTGTCTATAGTAGTAACAGTACATTTGTTTTCCTCTCACTACATCATACACTGACATCTGTTGACTGAAGTATCTATTTTAGATATATTTCATATGAGGTTCAAATGTCTTTAACTTCTAGGATAAATGACATAATATTGAGTAGTTTGAGATATCATTTATTTCTTGCATTATTTCATGTTTTATGGTCGACTTTATAGTGCCTGCCCACTGTCACTAATGCGAGTTAGTACATAATTATACATTTAACAGGAATGTTATGTATCTCTAAAATTGCTATGTAGTTTTTCATACTGGTGTTTCACCTGAAGTTCTCAACAAATTCTTGACACAAAATGTTTTATCCTTCTGCAGCACCATTATCTGACACTGATGCTGCCCTAATGGATTTTTAGAAGTTCGGGTTGAGTGCGTATCAGATCAACTTTTGAAGCTCAGTATCTTGATAGATAGTCCAGTATACACTCTCTGGTCCTTACTCTCGAGGATCTGTATGATGACATTACCTGCCAAATGTAGCATGTGGATGTGCTCTTAGTATGATAACAGGTTGGGAGTCTGTACATTGAGGCCGAAATGTGTTTGAGTAAGCCAGCTTGGGCACTTCACCGATATTAATGTACACTAAACGGACAGCATTTTTGTATGCAATCTACAGCAGCCGTTCTTTGTGTTGTAATAATCCTTTATTCCAATACCTTCATCTCCATTCATTTGCTTCATTTATATACCATTGCTTCTCGAGCTTCTAGATGCAACCCTCATGCCGGTTCATGTTTTCCACTCAACAAGTGTCTTAAAGCGATATCCTTTGTGTCTCATTTTGTGTGTGTGTTTGCTGATCATGTTGTTCTACTTTAAGTTTCAATAGCTGAACATAAAACTGTAGTTTGTTGGCTTGAATCATTAGACGTCTCAACTGTGCACTCATAATCTGGATGTTGCTTAGTCATATCTTTTAGGGAGGCCCACATGCTGTGCCATTCCGTGCATGCATGAAAATGATTGTAATTTGTGAGCATGCTACCCTATGACCTCCTTGGGGTAGTTCCTCCTCTTCTGTTCCTTCATCAAATACTCCTGTGAAGTATTTAGGCATTTGAAACCCCATCAAGTGTTTTTTTCATCTGGAGAACATTTGGTGAAGTATATATACGTCTGCTCTTTTGTTGTATTTACTAATGTTGAAGCTGTAAGCTTCCTGGTAGGTTTTTGCGCATTTTTATTTTATTTTATTTCGATTCTACATAAACCTTGTGTGAATATAGTATAATAAATGATATCCAGATTTAGACAATTGTTATCGCATTTTATTCATTATGTTTTAAATCATGAGCCATTACAGTAGACTCCCATATGCGCGCTTTCCACCTTAAAAAAGAATAAGATCTCACCACATTAGATTCGAAATCTAAAAATCTCAATAACTGGTCATGAAATACTTCTCGATCGTAATTTTCCTAAACATGAAAGCCATTTTCAAATAGAGCGATGCAATATTGGTCGACGGTTTCAGAAGCTTTAAATACATGATCGCGTTCTTTCCGATTTAACATTATTCGTTAAAGATACCGAAGAAGAAGTACCATGGACGGGCAGCCATCACCAATGAAACAACGGTGATTAAGTAGCCTCTTGATGTGATCGACGGCTTCTTCGATCGTCTGCTGTTGTGGGTCCCGGTTCTTAGCCCCTCTTTGCCGGCGTGAGATTGGCGAGCATTTATGGGCCCCCGATTGGTGTATCTCTTCCCTTGGTTCCTCCCTCCTTCGACCTCAAAAATCGCCCCTTATCATCACGGACGACCACTTCACCCGCACTGTTTGCCAGTATTCTAGTCGTGTTTCATTGGGACCCACTCGGAGTGGTTCGCAATAATGCTGGTTGTCGGCAGGTACCCGTCCAAGGGGTGGGAAACCCATTCACACACACGGGCCCCCCTTCCATCTCCCCCTTGCCCCTCTTCTTTACCTCGCTTGCCGTCTCCGCAGCCAGTCTACACTTGTGTCATCTTCCTGACGCGTCTTTTTCGATGGCAGCGTAATGTTGTGACGAGGAACGAGGAAACAAGGAGGAATTCTTTCGGATGTGCGTCTCGTTCTCCAGGAGTCTGTTTCTTCTCTTTGGTTTTAGATATCTGGTAGCTTAAAGTTTGCTTCTTGAGGGTTTTTTTTGGGACCATTCGTTTTGAGATTCCTGAGATTTTGGTTTCGGTCTTCGTTTACTTCATTGACGTTGATTTAGTTCGTTTTCCACGTTTACGACGTTGACCTCATGCCGTCACCGCAGTTGGATCGTGTGACACGAGATATACTCTTGGGATTGTCGGCGTTGGCTCGCTGTTTTCTTGGTTTGCTGCTGCTGTTCGTCATTTCTTGCGGAGGTAACTAACAATGGAAACCCTCGCGATCCCAACCTGTGCTCCAGCCCGCGTCCAGCCGGCGAGCCTCTTCCGCTGCCGGCCGACCCCGGCGTTTCGCTCCCCTTACGCTGCCGCCGCCGCTTGGACTAGAAGGTACCGCTTGCGCCGCCTGTCCTCCTGCTCGATTCCCTCTATCAGATGCTCCGCCGTCCCCCCTCCCTCTGTTTCCGCCACAGGTACCGACGCCGTCGTCATTCCTTGTGGCAGCATTAGCTCGAGTATCTTGTATGCGAATAATGCGCGCCACGTGTTTGCTTTTTCTTCTAGTTGGCAATGATGAGCCCTTTAAGTTCATGGAGGCCGCCAAGAAGGGTAATTTGGTGCCCCTCTACCAGTGCATTTTCTCTGATCACCTCACCCCTGTGCAAGCCTATCGTTGTCTCGTGAAGGAGGATGACCGCGAAGCTCCCAGCTTTCTTTTTGAGTCGGTGGAGCAAGGTCTCCGGGGGACTAATGTCGTAAGACCTGCTGTTCATCTTTCGTCATTCTTTTCTCCTCGCTTCTCGTTGTTTAAGGTTTCTCGTGGTCAGGGCCGATACAGCGTGGTGGGAGCTCAGCCAGCCATGGAGATTGTTGCGAAGGAGAACACGGTCTCCATCATGGACCACGAGGAAGGGCGCATGACAGAGGAGACTGTCGAGGACCCTATGCAAATTCCCCGGAGGATCATGGAGGGTTGGACCCCGCAGTTTATCGATGAACTTCCTGATGCCTTCTGTGGTAACCTTTTGTTTCCTTTTTATTTGATGATCAACTCTAACGCTTACTTTTCTTCTAAAATCATACATAAACATGTGCTGTAGGCGATTGCGAGAAAGTTCACAAGGAAAACTCTTGTCAAATTGATAATTCTGGTCTGTTTAGAATTATCGGAGCATGTTGGAAGGATTGTATGCATCCTTCCTCATCCTAGGATTATCAATAGCTACTTGGTGCTTTTGGGAGTTGCTGAACATCATGTCATATATGGAACCACTTTTACGCTCTAAACATTAGAAGTCCTACCTATTCGACAAATTTGGGTGTTAATGTGACCCATTGGGTGGTTTTAAGCTAACTGAGCTTATGCTTGGTGCTTTAGGTCTCATCAGAAGTCTGTAACCTTCTTTACTAGTGGCTACACCGTTTAGGAGGCTCTAAGCCAATCATCTTGCCCTTTGATTCTGATTGCAATTTATGATATTCATGTTCACGTTCTTCTGCAGATTATACTGAAGGCAGAGGTAGTAGCTGTGTCTAAAGAATAAATAGAAGGGGAACAAAAAGTAGAGAAATAATGGTGCATAATCAATGTGTACTTTCTTTTGTAAAGACAATTACATGCAATGAAGGGCAGTCATGCCTGAAGGTCCTCTTTCTATTAAATTTTACATTTACAAATCCTACTTTGGTTATGATTGCTAAAGGACACTTCTCTACATGGAAAGATAAACCAATTTTTCTTTACAGTATATAGTTGCTATCATTTGTTTTTTTCAGCAATTTCCCACTTCCTAGAGCATAGAGACAATTTTGTCAATTCCTTGTATGCAAGGTTTGAAATTTCGTACCGTACCGGGGTTTCGACGATCTCTCGGTACGGTACGGAACGGTATACCGCTCGGTATACCGAGCGATATATGTATATATATATATATATATATATATTATATTTATTTTTTTATTTTTTTTCATTGGCCGACGTCGCATCGCCTCGGCGACGTCGCCTTTTCCTTCCCCACACGGGGCGACGTTTA